GATGTACATTACTTGATAACATGAAATACAACTGACCGAGGCACTGCAAGAAATATGCCACTGACTTGTGCTAATATCAATATTTTCTTTTGTCTCTTATTACTTCAAACTCATTGACTGGCCAAAAAGTCCATGATGTATAGAATAATAGCGAAATCATACGGGAACTGTCAACCACTCATACCGGGCTTGCCCTCGAAGTATATATATTAGCCTCAAGAACCACGGCAAAAGAAAGGACTGGACAAGGAGCAGATCTTATGCATGGGCGCAGGTGTAATCTTTCGTTCAAGTTCATTCGAACATAATATACAGCTCATTGAACAATGAATCACACCTTGCAAGGGATCTTCCTATGAGTAGGCTAAAGTCCTCCCGGTTCAATCCTGGAGTGAACTAGTTACCTGGTAATGGTTGGTATCCAAATTTAACAAGAGAAAATCTATCCACTGACATTAGATATGTGTATATTTATACAAGATTCAGGTTGAAGTTGATCTGGGCTTTGGTTGACGACCTTGTGCCTACGTACAACATAGGTTAGTTAGCCACCAGGCCAGCTGTCGATGCTTAATAAGTGCGGGGATCCGGCCTCGGGGGCATTTCATCTGTCATTCACTAACGCCTAAATGTCTAACATGGCTGATATCAAGGCATGGGCAGCTCCTCGTCTCTCCCAGCTTCTCCCGCTGGATCCAGATTCTCTTTCTCAGGTTATCGACTACGCCGTCAGCCTCTCGAGGGAGGCATGTGCCGATCACCTCAAAAACCTACTTGGCGACTCCCCGGCCGCCCTAGAATTCATCTCCTCGTTTAATTCACGCCGAGAACCCCAGCGACCACCCCAGAACCCTTCCACGCAAAGCAGAGATGCATCGAGATCAAGCGGAGGAGCCAAGAAGGGCAAGAAGAAGGCCCCGCTGCACACTGCTGGCCCACCACGTCGACCCGACAACTACGGCGATGTAGGAGGTGGCTACAAGAAAGCAGACGAAGAAGACTATATGTCTTCTCGAAAACCAGCTGCTTCCACTCTTGCACCATCGCCACATGGGTCCTCAGCCTCATCGCGCATCCCCTCCCCCTTACCCGTATCATCCCCGAAGCCACCACCATCTGCGAGTGGCCCTACAATCTCAGACATGTTACCGAATGTGCGATCAAAAGTGAGCAAGTCAACACGTCAAGGTGGTGGGGCGGGATCGTCTTCCAAGGGCAACACAGCTCTTACAACCAACGATATCTCCGACCTCACCGCAGCTATCGCCGCGCTGGAGGTATCGACGAATCCGAGTCTGGGGGAGAGACGCAACTGCACCTGCTATGGGTCACTGCACCCAGTATTTGATCCAGCACCCAATTGCCTCAACTGCGGGAAAATTATCTGCTCACTCGAGGGTCTACAGCCGTGTTCATTCTGCGGCACACCGCTCCTCTCCGCCGAAGAAGTGCAGGGTATGATTCGGGAACTACGGGCGGAGCGTGGGCAAGAGAAGATGCGCGTACATAACGAAGGTGTTCATCATGAAGGAGGTCCTAAACCTACTGCCGGGTCCGAACCTTCCAGCAAGCTGGATGCCGCGAAAGCACACAGGGACAAGCTGCTCCAGTTCCAAGCGCAAAATGCCCGCCGGACAAAGGTTGTTGATGAAACAGCAGATTTCGAGACCCCGAATGTCGCCTCAACCTTGTGGATGACACCAACACAACGAGCGCTAGCGCTCAAAAAGCAGCAGCGCATTCAGCGCGAGATGGACGAGAAGGCTCGTCCTGAGTGGGAGAGGAAAAAGACTGTGATGAGTCTTGATATTAAGGGTGGCAAGGTCCGCCGAGTCTATCATTCCGCACCGGCAGAACCAACCCCAGAGGCTAGTGAGCCTGACCCTGTTGATGAAGGAGGCGCGGAGGACAGCCCGCGAGGACAACATGCTTTCAGTCGAAACCCCCTTCTCGCAGCTGGTGGTCTTATGCGGCCTGTTTGGCGTGCCCCCGAGATAAAGCAGGCCGAACCAGCGGAGCAAACTGAACGAAAGCAGACTTGGCGACGTGTGCAAGATGACAACGACGACAACGAGCAATGGATTTTGGATGGAGGAATACATGGGCACATGACCTAAACATAATCTTACATCGATTCAACCGTAAGACCCAAAGCTTGAGTCTGAAAAACACCATTTCGGGCCATCTTCATAATTCTGAATCGACCAAGCCGGGGGGTACTCTATAGGCGCTATCACCGGCTTCATCGCCGATATCAGTGTAGCAGGAAAGCCTCACGCAAAAAAAAAAAAAAGAAAGAAAGAAAGAAAGAAAGAAAGAAAAGAAAAGAAAAGCGTGATCACTCTGTATCCCTGACTGTGTTTGGCGCATTCCTCCTAAGAAAAGGGCGGCATATTCGGAGCGGATGTCTGATTACTATTACCCGTTGCAAATCGGCTAATGACGGTGGTATTATCACAACCCAGGAGACAATCGAGCCGGATGCTGCTGTATGACTGATTAGGGAATGACGGCAGTCTGCCAAAAATAGAAAAGATCCATTCATCTATGTTGCATTTCTACATTATGTATAGAACTGACAATGAATCCCCACGATTTTTACAAGGCCTCGGATTGAAATGTTCATTTCTTTGTCTTGAGAACCTACCTACTGGAACCCCGAATCCCCACAAAAGTACCAAGCATGAAGTATGCTTCCCCGCGGATAGCATAAAGTTGATAATGCGTGGATATTTAAACATAACCAATCACCGCTCCAATGTATGGATCATCCCCAAACAACCGTCTATAACCGAGTCAAATAAAACCCTATCTGTAGTAGGAATCAGCAACCCTTAATTGGGGCTGTCCCATCAGCAAGACCTGTGTCGTAGTACGGATCCATCGTCATTGACTAGGAGGTTCGGTTGGGGGCGGATATCGGCGGCAGCTGGAGTATAAAGGAAGTTTGAGACAATATGATAACCTTGAAAGTACCTATTAGTATGTTGAGCCAATAAGTTGCTTCTTCATGATCATCTCGCAAAATGCTCGTTGAATCTGTGCTAGAGTGCTTTTCTCTACAGAGGGTTCTGGGAGGCTTGGTCGGCCTATTAGCTGTAGCGGTACGCATATTCCGTCCATTTGATACATTTTGATGCTCTCTATCACCCACTTCCAAGAAGTATCGTGTCCCACAAGTAGGCTAATCTAACTCATTCCAGACCTTCGCCTACGCCCTCTACAATCGCTTCATCCATCCGCTCCGCCGTATCAACGGCCCCCTCCTCGCATCTATCACACCCTGGGTCCAGCTTTACCATGGCCTGAAGGGCGACCGCCATCTCTGGCTGCACAAGCTGCACAGTCAATACGGGACACACGTGCGTGTTGCGCCTAATTTCATTTCTGTCAACTCTGACCGTGGATTGCACGATATCTACGGACACGGGAAACACCTTCAGAAGGCCAAATTCTACAATGCTTTCCCCGCCATTAAGGGCGTGTATAACACACACAACGCTATTGATAAAAGTATGCATGGTCGCAAAAGAAGAGTGCTTAGCCAGGCTTTCTCAGATAATGCTCTCAAGGGCATGGAGGATGTGATGCTCCTCCACGTGCGTCAGCTGTGTGCCGTCCTAGCTGGATATGATGGCGATTTCGAATCCCATGATCAGAAGGGCAATGTTAAGAACATGGGTGACTGGTTTAGTTATCTCTCGTACGATGTTATGGGCGAGCTCTGCTTCGGGAAGAGCTTTGACATGCTTATCTCTGAGAGTCGGAGATATAAAGTTGGGTTGGTAGATCGTGCTGCGAATAGGCACTATGTGGTAAGCATTTCTATTTTCTTCCATCGTTAGAGAACGCTTGTATCTGACTCGGCCATAGTGTGGACTTTGGATGCCTCTGGACACATGGGGTCTGGACCAGATATTCATCCGCAAGCTGACCCGCGACCGATGGAATTTCATTATGAATTCGCGCGTTGAAGCCAATGAGCGGGCCAAGGAGCGTACCCAGATTGGTCGGGACGCCAAGAAGGACTTCTTTTATTACCTGTTGAACGCGAAGGACCCAGAGACCGGCAATGGACTCAGCACGCCCGAGCTTTGGGGCGAGTCAAACGTCCTCATGATTGCGGGTAGCGACACAACCTCAACTACATTAGCAGCCACACTCTTCTACCTCGTTCGGAGACCAGATGCACTGGCCAAGCTGTGTGCGGAGGTTCGCGGCGCCTTCAATGAAGTTGAAGAGATCATTACCGGCAGCCAGCTCGGCGAACTGGTGTATCTCAAAGCATGCATCGACGAGGCGTTGCGTCTGGCCCCAGCCGTGCCCGGTGCGATTCCCCGCGAAGTGATGCAAGGCGGCGCCGTGGTCGATGGAGTCTTCTTACCAGCCGGCACAGACTGCGGCACGCCAACGTACTCCATCCACCGTCAAGAGCGATACTACCGGGAAGCAGGGACCTATATGCCGGAACGCTGGATTGAGGACGCCACCTGTATGGCTTCTGGAATGTCATGGCAGACGACCAAGGAGAGCATTGAGACTGCGCGGCATGCATTTTGCCCGTTTAGCATTGGACCCCGTGGATGTATTGGCAAGAGCATGGCTTTTATGGAGATGCGGCTGACACTGGCGCGGCTGGTGTTCCTCTTTGACATGTCATTGGCGGATCGTCAGGGTGAAGATGTGGGGGGGCACCTGGCGCTGACGGATCATTTCACCTCCGCGAAGAATGGACCGAATGTTGTGTTTCGACGAAGATAATTTAGTTTCAAGTTATTTCAGGCAGTTTATCATTCTGTATTCTAAAAGCGGTCATGCAGAAGATGTAAAAAATTTGAAACATCCAAGTGTCGCTTAATCTCTCAGCCTTACCCACACCCCCCTACCATCTCAACGTCTCAGGACACGGTTGCGCGCTTGGCATCTCTTCTCAATCATTTTATTTGTGTACATTCGAAGAATCATATTTGAATGGACCTGATTGAAGGGGCTTATCCATTATGACCTCGCCCCTGATCGTGACGTTCGTGCAGGCGACCATTTTGAATGCCATCTCCAACATCCTCGCGCAGCTGATTGATCAGCGCAACAACAAAGTAAGAGATACTACGGAGTATGTTTTAGGTATAAACATCGCAATTAACAACACATTAGGCTCCATTCACTCTGAACACACCGGCTCTTCTCCAATTTCTGGGCTATGGCCTCTTAATCGTGGCCCCCAATTTCTACTGGCAACGCGCCCTGGAAGCGCGTTATCCAGGATTTCCTACGCGTTCCGAGCTTTCAGGTGCATTCAGTGTTCGATCGCTGAAGTCTATCTTCTCACCCCGCTCATGGCTTTCCCTCTTCTCAAAATCTCGTGAGGATGATTCGCTCCCTAGCCACAAGGAGAAAGAGAAGCATGTCCGATGGGCAGCACGAGCGCAGAACTCCGGGCTCCGTAGCTTCTTCATGAAATTCTTCTTTGACCAGACGGCTGCCTCGATCGTGAATCTCGTGCTATTTGTGGTTCTCATCAATCTGCTGAAGGGAGAGACTATGGCAAAGTCGTGGGAATTGGTTGTTTTGGTAAGTTGCTCTGCTGTTGAACAATAGTGTTGAATACATGCTGACTTCTATAGGATTTCCGGCCTCTTATGAGTGCCCGTCTGAAGTATCGGCCTGTTGTTTCGGTCTTAATGTACACAGTCATTCCTGTGGACCGACGGGTGGTCTTTGGAAGTGCATGTGGGGTGATCTGGGGTGTGTATTTGAGCTTATATGCAGGCGTTTAGGTCCGTCGTTCTGCTGTCATTCTGCTTCTTTTCTGTTACTTCAGCGTTGTATTATCAAAGGGAATGTTATAATAATATGTCAAACTTTTACTTGTGAAAGCCAACTAATATAAAACCTGATTCAAAGTCAAAAGACTAAAATATTCATTTTCCTGCTGACATACTAAATCTACTGCAAATCTCTCTGCTGCTGATCTTTCATTTGTAAAGCTTTCCAAGGGTCCTGTCATTTGAAACATAAATTCTATCACAGAAAGCAATTATATTGACTGGGCTTTTTATCCGACATTAATATACGCACCAATTATCATAAACAATAGAAATGTGGGCACATGGCCCAGTACGATAATCCGTGGACCATCCCACAAAGAACAGAACTCCAAAAAGGAGAAGGGAGCGAAAATTAAGGATGTGCACGAAAAGAACTTCCCAGTCCGAATTTGAACCTCAAACAGCCGCCATCTCGATCTTCTTGCCCTTGACAGACAACCACTCAACGAAGATGGGTCCAACGAGCGACAACGCGCCCATGGCGACAGCGACGTAGAACGTATTCACAACAGCAGCGTTATAGGCAGTCAAGACACGGTGCAGTGCATCGCCACTAACAACGGTGCGGAGCATGGTAGCGCCAGCAGAGATGAGCTTCGGAGCATCCTCATTAGGTGCATACAGCGCCAAGTTCCGGACGAGCTGGTTCTGGAATACATTCTGTGCGACCGAGACGAAGATAGCGCCACCAAGAGTCTGGGCGAACATGACAATAGCCGTGCCACTGGGGATATCTGCGGGCTTAAGGGCAGTCTGGGCGACAATCATAGGCTGCTGCATGCCCAGACCCAGACCGATACCAAAGAGTGCCTGGTATCCGATCCACTTGGAGTGGTTTGAATCTGTCTCTAAGGTCGTCAGGAGTCCTGCGCCGATGGTCATGACGACGGAAGAGGCGATCATAAAGGGTGTGTAGTATCCACAGGCGGTGACGAGACCACCGGCCAGAATAGATACAACCACAACTGCGATGATCATGGGCAGGTTCATGATGCCTGATTTCAAGGCGGTTGCACCCTTGATTGATTGGAACCAGATAGGGAGCTAAGAGTGTTAGAGAGCTTTGATCGGTACGATTGGGAAGGGGAAATGTAGAAATGGGAAGGGTGCTCACATAAAATGTCAGGACAAAGAAAGCAGCGCCAAGAGCAAGGGCATACCATGCTGAGCCCCAAATGCTACGGTTCTTGATCAGGCGTGGCGGGACGGTTGCGCGGTCCCCGACCCAAATCTCGACGGCAATGAAGGCGAGACCGAGAACGCCAAAGACCACAAATAAGCCGATAATGCGTCCGCTGCTCCACGCGTACCTGGTGCCCCCCCACTGCAGGGCAAGCAACAAGCTGATGATAGCGGGCAGGAAAAAGAGGGAACCGATCAAGTCCAGCTCCTTGAGCTGTTCCTTCAGGGTGTTCTTCTTCAGGATGGCTTTGGGTGTTCGGAAGAAGCAAAGCACGAAGAAGAAAGTTACTCCTCCGAGGGGCAAGTTAATATAGAAACACCAACGCCAAGTGAGGTGGTCGGTGAAGGCGCCTCCCATACTGTCTGAAGTTAGCATAACTCGGTAATCAAGAAACACAAGGAACGTACAGAGGGCCAGCTACATTGGCAATGCCAAACATGGAGCCAATGAGACCCGTATACATAGGTCGCTTCACCAGGGGTACACTCTTGCTGATGATGAGGATAGAACCCGAGAAAAGACCAGCTGCCCCAAGCCCGGCGATTGCTCGGCCGCAGATGAGTCCAACAGAGGTGGGAGTGACAGCGCAAACCAGCGAACCGATCTCGAAAATGCAGAGCGCGGTGAGATAGATCCACTTGATCGAGTAGAATGTGTACAGTTTGCCGAACATCAGGGACACGGCGCATGTTGTCAGCAGATACGAACTTCCATACCACCCGACATCGTTGAGCGAGTTGAATTGATCAGTGATCTTGGGAATTGCTGTTGCAATAATCGTGTTGTCCTGGAGGATCGGTGTTAGCTGGATAAACCTATCAAGTAAAGCCACCTGACAGTGCATACCAATGCCACGCAAAACACACATAGACAGAGAGCAATACTGATCAGAGATAATCTCCATGCGTTTGGATATTCTTCTTCTTCTTCTTCTTCTTCTTCTTCTTCCTCCGGCGTTTCAGCATCACCGTCCTCTTTTTTATCTTCTTGTGTTGGCTTCTTGTCGAATGATTCATTGGGGACCAGCTCCTTGCTGGAGTCGTTATGAACAGGCGTTGGCGTGTCACGGCTCGCAAGTTCTTTTTCGATGCCATCAATGGGAGTTGAGTTTCTCCTCAAGGGCTCATCGACCAGAGTGCTCTCTTTCTCACTAGAGGGCTTCGAAATCTGACCTCCAGACTGGGATTGGGTGTCGTCATTGGGTGCCACGTTGCTGTGCTCAGTTTTGTCTTCAGTCTTATCTCCAGTCTTGTCTCCAGTCTTGTCTCCAGTCTTGTCTCCAGTCTTGTCTCCAGTCTTGTCTCCAGTCTTGTCTCCAGTCTTGTCTTCAGTCTTGTCTACAGGTACATCTGCCTCTTTGGGAGATTTGACTTTGAAGGCATCGAGGAAGCCCATAATGAACGAAAAAAAAGAAATACAGCAGTATTAAAAAAGTAAAAAAAAAGAGCCAGTAATGAGATTTAACGAAAGTTGGGACGAATGAACATAAACAGGAAAATAGAAGGACTTAAAGAGAAACAGGGAAAATAAGCCAAATGATTGACATTAGAAACACAACCAGTTCGTACAGGTCTCATCGGGAACCTTGCCTCTGAATATCTTGGGAGGGGGAACAGGGCCAATCGAGATTGCACGTAACCCTGCGATCATATCTCAGGAGTCCATGTGGTACATAAAGGCCTCCACTGAGCTGCATATCCTGCAGAAAGTTTTTTTTTTGCAGTCAGGCAGCGAAGTTTAGTTCTCAAGAAACGAACTAGTTAGTCTATTAGTTCGCAACAATTGACAATGCGGCTATGCAACTATGATTGGCCGCAGTAGTCCCGAACGTCGTGAGTTTTCAGAAAGGACAACGGAATTGTTCTCATCCGACAAGATCTGAGTCAAAATCCGCGCTTGAACGCGGACGAAATGTCGAGTTCGCTTTGCCCAGGAGGGACCGCAGTCAGGAGAATGCAAGGACCAGGGTGATCTATTATTCAATTGTTGCATGAACTTATGTAAAAGTCTTTATTTGCGATTGCGCGCCAATCAGCGATCAGGGGGATGTGAATAGTACGTCGCCCCTTACTCGGCATCCAACAGAGAGAAACATTGTCTCTGCTGCAACGGATTGTCATACACCGCTGTTGATAAAAACAGGGGGAAAGGATAAACATAGGATCCGAACAATTATGGAAGTGGAGAGACGAGCAAGTAGTTCCATGTGATTCTTGCGGAGTTTACAAATATCGTCGAAGAATAATCGATGGCTGAAGATGACAAGGATCTAACGGGATGGGGGTTAGTGCGGTTTGGAACCACGGAAGAAAGTCGGAGATTGGGGTTAAGCTTGTCTGAGTTCTTACTTAGGTTGCCTTATCTCCTTATCTTCATACTCACATTTATGAGGGAGAGAGAGAGTAAGGGAGAGAGAATAAAATAATTAACAGGTCATAAGGTACTTCTCCTATTCGTAGGGGAAATTGTACAGCTTTGGTAACAAGTTTCAAATATAGATTGCATGTTCCTAGTACAGCATTAGCATGGTCTCGGCTGATTTACACTGGCACTCCCATGATGAGTACTCAATGGTATCTATGAGGAAGTAAATAGCTGTCTTGAAGCCCTCATCTGAGTAGTCTTTGTACTCGAAACAGAGCAAGCTTGTTATTGCTAAGTTATATCGAACATAGTTATATTAAATATTGTTTCAGAACCTCTGAATTTCCAAAAGTTTCAAGGAATACCCGTACATGTCCACGGGGAGCGGCCGTGTTACAGGTGCCTACACACGGCAAACTACAACTACACATTTGGTGTAGTTAGTACAACATGCAGTATTAGCAGCATAGAGCTTGATTATGGTCAGTGATTAATTATTTTGTGTCTGTAGGACTTATAGATATTGAAATCGGAGATAGCATAGAGAGGGAGCTTTAATTCCGATCAATAGTTATTCATAGAACCCCCAAATGGATTGACGACAGCAGCTAGCTGTTCCCACCGATTTATTAACTCCGGGCTTCATTGATCATAAGGCAAGAAACCCAAGTATAAAAAGGGCACCTCAACCCACTAGAATACTTCATCCAACCACCACCAACCTGCACAACTACAAACAACACAATATATCAACCATACAATGGCCGAATTCTTTGCACCTGCTCCGGAGCCCGCCACCCCTCTGGGTCGGTACCGGGTCCTCTCCTCAACGGCAGGAGTCCGCGTCTCCCCCCTCCAGCTCGGAGCAATGTCCATCGGCGACGCATGGAATCAATTTATGGGTAGCATGAACAAAGAACAATCTTTCGCGCTACTCGACGCCTTCGTCGCCGCCGGTGGCAACTTCATCGACACATCAAACAACTACCAGTTCGAGCAATCCGAGGCCTGGATTGGCGAATGGATGGCCGCACGTAACAACCGTGACCGGATTGTGATAGCCACCAAGTTCACAACCGATTACCGCAGCTACGAAGCCGGGAAGGGCAATGTCCCTAACGCCTGCGGGAACCACAAGCGCAGCATGATCCTCAGCGTCCGCGACTCTCTCCGCAAGCTTCAAACCGACTTCATCGACGTTCTCTACCTCCATTGGTGGGACCACACCACCTCCATCGAAGAGATCATGGATTCCCTCCACATGCTCGTCGAGCAGGGCAAGGTCATGTACCTCGGGATCTCGGATACGCCCGCCTGGGTCGTTGCTGCGGCGAACACGTATGCGCGCGCGCACGGCAAGACGCCTTTCTCCATTTACCAGGGGCGGTGGAATGTGATGCGCCGGGACTTCGAGCGTGACATCCTGCCTATGGCGCGGAATTTCGGCATGGCGCTTGCGCCGTGGGATGTGCTTGGTGGTGGACATTTCCAAACTGCTAAGCAGATCGAGGAGCGGAAGAGGACGGGTGAGGGTCTGCGCAGTGTGATGGGTGCTGAGCAGACGGAAGAAGAGAGGATTATCTCCGAGGCGTTGGCCACTGTTGCTGCTGAGCATGAGGTTGAGTCAATTACTACTATTGCATTGGCTTATGTGCTCTGCAAGGCGCCAAATGTGTTCCCGCTTGTTGGAGGCCGCAAGATTGAGCATCTGCATGAGAATATTCAGGCTTTGTCGATTCGCCTTACAGCTAAGCAGATTGAATTTTTGGAGGCGGCGACTACTTTTGATATTGGGTTCCCCATGAACTTCATTGGGGAAGATCCGAGTACCAACGGTGGCAAGATGAACTTCCTGATGGGGTCGGCTGGTAATATTGATTTTGTGCAGGCAACTCGGGCTATTGGATATGAGCCTGGTAAATAGAGGATTTTGATCTGTTTCAGAAGTACATAATGTCAATAAGACTTATGTAAATATTGTTCTATTTATCCATACTGCGGTACATCTACTCGGAGAGATTGAATAAAAAGCAATGGAATTCTGAGATAAGAAATAGACAAGAAATGGAGATGACAATGGGCATAGAAGCCAGTTCAATGCAATGTACTGTTATCGCATGCCGTTCCACGCCTGGAAGGCCTCGAAGACGTCTCTGCATCTTCATATTGAAAATCCTGCTCCCAATATAGTGATATTGTAATGGAGAATGGATAAAATAATGGGGCATGATAATTGCAGATGCCCGCACCCGTAGGCAGGAAACTTCTGCGGGTTGGCAAGTTGACCATCAAGATCTGAATCTTGATTTCAACTGACAGTGTTGCCATGGGTTTGGATGGGCGAAATATAAGAGAATCTGGGTTGGGTATTTGTTTTCGGGGTTAACCGATTGTGGTAGACCTGAGATTTTGAGTGACATCAGGGAGGTCGACCAAGCCAGCTTTCAACTTGGCTGGGGGGAGAGGAGGATGGCCGCTGTAAAGGTGATGAAGACGAAGAGCTCTGACCAAAAAAAAAAAAGACATAAATGAAGGTAATCATAGTATAATTCAGTTCATTTATTTCTCGTGGGGAATTTCGAGGCCATTGTTCTTGTTAGCGACAAGCGCAATCAGAGCTGCGCCAACCCCGCTGCCATCCTTGGAAATACCAATGCGGATCTTCTTGTCGCCTGCAACTCCGACTTGGGGAACTTCGCGCAAAGCCTCACGCATATGCCGTTCAAAATCGGGGTAGAATTCAACAAGACTGCCATCGACACCAATGTCAATGATATCATCGGTCTCAAGCTTGTTGGTGTGCACGAGAATGGCAGCCAGCGGAACGGCGCTCAGGCGAGCGGCACGTTTTCCAATCGCGTGAACTATGATTTTCACAGCCTGGCACTCTTCAAAGCTGGGGTTCTCAATCTCGAGGTGATCCTTCAATGCGGTCTTCACATCCGCCAAATCCTTGCTGTTATCAACCTCGACTGAACTCAGCATGCTAGTGTCCAGACCCCATTGACGGAAGAGCATAGATCCTTCAGGAAGGATGACCTTAGAGTTCTTGTTGGCCTTGAACAATCCCAGGTCGTTGTCGCGGTGTAGAGACAAGAGTGCACGGCGCAGAATTTCGCCTAAGAACATGCCCGAAACACGCTTCTCGAACATCTGCACACCGGGGTTGTTGCTGTCAGCATCCAGCTCATCATCGAACACCGTGGTAGGGAGCACGCTCATGTGGTTATCGAAGCTACCCCACTCAGCGTTGATAATCATCTCGCCTGTGGAGTCGTCAAAGTGGGCATCCTTCATGTGCTGGAGCTTGGTGATGTTCTTAGTCTTCTCCACGTAAGCACCGTTGGTACCGGTTCCGAAAATGGCACCGAGGAAAGTGCCAGTCTCGCCTGGCGAGGTGTATGAGCGGGCCATGAGAGTACCAACAGTGTCGTTCACCAGTGCAGCCACACGCACTGGCAGGTTCAAATCATCAATGGCCGACTGAAGCAGCGCGCAAACATCGTGGCCAACCGCATCGGGGATGTTAAAGCCCTTGGTCCAACGGATCAGTGTTCCACGGTTGATACCACATTGGCGCACAGGGAAACTGAAGGTAAAGCCCAAATCGAACAAGTCCTCTTCGTTATAATCTTCCCGTCGGCGGAGCTGGTGGGCCTCGAAGTGCTCATTGTGGTGAATGCGAAGGAATGATTCGATTTGACGGGCCAAGAACAGGAAGAGATCCTTCGATGTGCCAGAGGCCATCAATTCCCGAGGAATTAGGATCTTGGATTGGGTGAGGGAGAAGGTAGTATCGCCGTGCAGGAGGACCGAGCACACACGGAAGTTAGTGCCACCGAGGTCGACAGCCAAGTAAAGGCCCTATAACAAGGAGAATCAGCGCGCAATTCCCGTTGTAATAGTCTGCCTTTCATACCTTTTCCGTGCCATTTGGCACAGCAGTCACGAAGGTAGGAATTTGGCTCAAGGTGGTGCCCTCTTTGGTCAAGCCCTCGTTGGACTGCTTAATGTACTCGGCAACCCCGCGTTGCACTTTCTCGGCGGGGTAGTCGAAGTCACGCGCAATGCGCGTGGCCTGGTCCAATAGTGAAGACATGGCGTAACAAGAAATGAGAGTAGCCGGTTGGGTAGAGACTTGAGATACCAGCTAAGAAAAGAATGGAAAAGAGTAGAGGAAGAAGAAGAAGTTAAGAAAGGGGGGAAAAAGCGGGAGAGTGGAAAGAAATAAGAAAGACACGAAACACATCTGGGGCAGAACCTCAAGGTGGGATGACTGAGGGCGGGATCCATGAGGATCCATGAGGTCAGTTTGGTACCTTGGCAGTACATAACCCACCGTAATAATATCTACTGTGAATGATGTATCAACGATGTACTCTTAGAGTATTGGAGGATTGCCGGGTTCACCGGCGATAAATCTTACTTTATTTTATATTGTATGAAATTGTACGCTTTCAAATTTCATTGTTTGAACTGTAGAGGAATAGGGAGAATCAACAAACATTGTTTTGTATATGATCTCATCTACCGAAAGCAGTACATTCCTAGGGCATTTGATTTTCTTTTTTTTCCATGACGCCATGAATGGCAGACATTTAAATTTTTGGTAGATTTAGGCAATTGTGGGGAGACATTGTCACTGGTTATTACTGGTCAATTCTTCTTGTCTGCATATTTTCCCCCGACTTCACCGGTGAGCGACACAGGTTAAGACCGGGGCAAGGGACGGAAATATACAAAATGCCACATCGGGGGATAACCCTGGTATTTCGCGCATCACCCCCAAATCATATGGGTATCCCTGCGTATGCTGATTGCGTGATTTGAAAATATTGACATTTGTATCACACTTATACACAGTACACCACATGTATCTACATATTGTGCGGAGTACATCAGGAGACGATCGGGATAGATCGGCCCCATCCCATTATACTCGGTCTCAAATGGCCGAATACACGGAATCCCGTGTGTGGGTGAAACCCCATGGAGAAATGATTGAGACATGTGGCTTTTCTCTTATTAATAAATATGTAGTTCCATGGTTATTCTTCTTTTCCTTCCCTCTACAATGGCCTACGTAAGACGCCTGCCTGCCTGCCTGCCTTTCAAGATGAAAATTGTTAATTGTCATAAACACCATCCCGTTTTAATGACTACTATGTATCACACCTAGGGAAGTTAAATTGGTTTGGAACAAGAGCAAAATAATATGACTGGTATTTGGAAGTAGCCCTGGAGGCCCGACATTTGGCACCCGTGAACCCCACAATTTGGCAATGTACCTAGGTATGAATTAGGGCTATCAACTTTTTGAGACTGATGAAACCTTAGTACATACAAACATACATACACACCTCAAGCTTCAGGCAATGGCCATGGTCACTAGTTACCTTGCTTGTATGGAGACTAAGCAGAACTAGCGTAGTAGTCAATCTTATTCTTTGTTTAAACGGCACATTGTTTTGTACAATGCTTTTCTTTCGCATATGATACATGTAAACTTGCCCTTTGCTACTAAATGCGCCAGAATATATCACCCAAATGTCTATATAGCAAAACATTCTGCGGAGGCTAAGCACACGGCGTTTGATTTACTGTGACATGGGCGTTGGCGTGAAAATCATGTCTACCATGACCCTTAGTCATGTCAGCCGCGTTTGAGCAATACACCTGTTAGATAGTTCCACGGGTATTCATTGAAGAATTGACTAAGGCTAGACTCATATCTGGAGACTCTTTTCAAGTCTTTTCAAAGTGGTGCTGTTGGATTCCGTCATATTTTTCTTTTTCAATACGTCATATCATTTGCAACCCTGCGTTTGGAATTTGGAGTTGTTGGCGCTAAGCCCTTCACTGTCGGTAGGTTAGTGTCAGTCTATTACTGTAGAATAAAGCCGTGATATCGCACGAATATCATATCGATATATATTAGTGGTCGACCGTCAGGATGCATGTTGAGACCAGCCGGCAACTGGCAACTTGCGCGGTCCGTGGATGACTAATATACCACGTGACCTCCAACATCCTCCGAACTGAACGGGTTGTGAGCGGCCATCTCGAACCATCACTGTCTTTCTATCTTCACAGGACTTGTCCTTTTTGCCGAAAAATGGGTGCTGGAAACTCTAAGCCTGAAGCTTCGGCTGGCTCACAACATGTGTTCTCCAGGTATTTGCTCTCCGAACTCGATTTTAGCTTCCGCGGCATTTGGTGCTTGACAGCGGAGAGAACGGGAACTACCTTCCAATTGGCGCCAATTGCGAAGGGCAGATGGTTCCTACAGATATAAATGGACCCTCAAGATTCTATCATCATTTGCGACACCGCGGAGCTCATCCAAACCATTCTACAGCCGACGCTAACCTAACCATGCACAGCAACTCTCCCGTCCAATTCTCCTCAAACCTAGTCGATGCACTCCAATCGACCTCAGAGGTGAGCATACCACAGCTATAAGCAGATCCCCAGCTCGATCCAGAAAAGCTCACAATCCACCAATCAAACAGACCGACTCCACCCGCGCCAAAGCCCTGGAATTGGAGATCCAAAACCGCGTCGCACAGGAACTGCAACGCCTCCGCGCACGCGAGCAGCAAACCCTCGCCGAGATCGAGAAGCGTATCTCCGAGTCCAAAGACACCACTTCCCTGCCCGTCACAGCAGCCACCGCGCCCCTCGCCCCCTCCACCTCGGGCTACCCAGCCGGCTCACTGAACTTGGACGCACCGCGGATTCCCTTCGCCGGCCGCCACCACGACCCCGTTCCCACAGTCGCCGCGCCGCAGGAGACCGCTGCCACCGCACAGCCCGTTGTTAAGCGCGATATCTCGCGCGACTCTGTAGCTGCCGAGATCGAGCAGTTGCGGAGTAAGCTTGATGGGCGGAGGAAGCTTGTGGAGCTCGACGATGGAGTTGCCAAGGCCCGCTCGGATGTTACTAGCTGCCTGCAGTTGAATGACCGTCGGCCGTTGAACTGCTGGGAGGAGGTCGACGCTTTCAAGCGTGAGGTTGCACGCATGGAGGCTGCTTTCGTGGATCGCATTGTGGGTTAGATTGGTTGGTTCGGGAATACAGCGGCTTGATGTAAAGTCTCTACGTTTTATGGGACCTGATTTTGGGCTGGGAGCTGCTGTACTGTATGTATAGAACGTGAATTTTCCTTTGTTCCATTTGTTTTCATCTGAATAGGATAGAGATAATCCATGGATGAGAGTGGATCTTCGTTTAACCCTTGGGAGGGCTAGTTTTTTTTTTTTTTTGGCTCGTAGAAATATATACAAAGTATCTAGTTAATGGGGCAGACAGTGTTTGGAACCACAATTGGGCATCTCCACTGCTGGGCAAGGGCTTAGATTTGATATCATACAAACTCCCACATCCCTAGTCGCCCACTCTTCTCCCCTGAGGCCCGAATAATACACATTCTCCTCTCAGAGGACTTGACGTTGGGAGCCAATACCTTCGAAAGCTGGATAGACCCAATGGCTGTCCCTTTGCCTTCGGAAAGATTGTAGTTCCCCGTAGTGACAAAACCAATCAGGTCATCTTCGGTGGGCACATCCAATGGCTCAGAGTTGGGCTCTCCGTCAGCAGATGAGATGAGAGCCTTAGCAAGAAGACGCCGAGCCTCTTCAGATTGGGGTGTAGTGTTTTCTGCTTTAGAGAGCTTCAGTTGACCAGGCTTGTTAGTGCCTGCTGAGCTAATATCGAGCCATTTCTGGCGTAGAGCTGGGTCTGTAGGAAGCCGGTAGATCCGCGCACGGGTTGTGGGTGTGCCTCGCGTGGTGAGAGAAAGATATACTGTGGCAAGGGTGGAAATATCGACGGATGTTTTGTCGAGCTTGTTCAGGCTTTGATAGGTATCGGCTGGGGGGAGACGGACATTGTGAATATTAAGGGGTGGGATGATGGGAGTAGAGGGGTCCTCTCTCTCAGCTCCTGTAGACTCGGTTGGCTTTTTGACCGAGCTTCCATCGGCGGGTTCTGTCGTAGGATCGTCGCGTTTCGGCCCTTGAATAAGCCTTTTCCAGTCACAGGCCCACCCGTGGCCTATCTCTCCCTTTGGATGACCATCACCCAACGAAATGTTATCGAACTCGGGGCGCCGCCCCTTAGGACGTCGCTCCCAATCACGTCGAGATTTCTCGGTCTCACGCTGGCCCCATTCCCAGCCAGCTCGTGTTCCCGGAAAATCTCCAGGGAACCAAGCCTCACCTGCTTCGAAAGAAAGTTGCTGTTGCTGCTTCAAACCACCAAGCAATGGGTTTCCTCCGCTAGATAGCGGGTAGAACATGATTGAATACCAAACCGGGACAACACATTTCCACGGTAATAATACGGTCCAGGACCCCGGGGCATTGCTACGTTTGGCCCGGGCTTGTGGCTTGTTTGCGAGTATCATGATCGGAATTTGAGGATCTGATGGTTGAGATGGCGGGTGTTCACCAGGACCGGCAAGAGTGCGGCGCCGGTTGATAGCCTTCTGGCTCGGGAGCTGACGAGACGCTGTTAACCGAGTGAATCGGTCAAATATCTTAGAGGGGCCTTGCGTTTTGTCCGGATGCCATGCGGAAAGTAAGATAGCAAGGTCATTCATGTGTGATTCATTGTCGGGGACGTGAAGTGTACGTGGCGGGAAGTGGAGGCGGGGATCAGAAATGGCAAAGGAGAGCAGGGCATTACGGGGTAGTGAGGACGGGTTCGACACCCCCAGAAGAGATGGCCAGACGGCTTCCGGGCTTTGTGCGGATGGACCATTACCATCCAGAATTGGTTTCAATGCCGCCAATAGGGCCTCGGTAGACCCTGGCCCTGTGATTTCAATACTGCCAATTTCGAATCGTAGGTCCTCGACCATAACAGGGGGGTTCTGCGATTTGGATAACCCGAGAACATCCGCCCACAGCTGGAGGAAAGCCGAAGGATGGACTCTGATCCAGAGTTTTCGGTGATCTTTCTTCGATGATTTGGGCTGAGGTTCGTCGGCATCAACCATCTCAACATCTTCCTGCTTAGCACACCATATCAATGTGACTGGTGCAGTTGGACGTTTCGGATGGTCATTTTCAAAAGTCCAGGCCTGTAGAGACCGAGTCCCGGCTCTCC